TAATTATCGTAGGATTTATTAATCTTTATCAAGAAATTGTGACCGCCTCTATGGTCTAGTGGTCAGAGTTACTGGCTACAGCTCCAGAGGTTCCGGATTCGATTATCGGCGCTACCAGTTTTTCTGAGAAGAAGTGGGTCTAGAACGGGGTCCACTGAGCCTCGTGAGAATAATTGAGGAGCTACTTGAATGGAAAAGAAGCGGCTCCGGTCTAGAAAACTGAAATTAACGGCCGTGGAGATTCGTTGCACTGACCACGCGACACCCTCTATGCGCTAAAGTTGGCACTAACTTCGCCGACAAGCTGCGGTCGCTCGGTCGGTATAGTTCGCTGGCGGACTAATGCCACGGAGTTGGATTTTTGTTTGTATAAAGAAATTGTTGGGTTCAGCATTACGATGTCGAGACGCGAATATATTGTTTAGGTATCTCTTAATTTATTTATAGTACAACATCGTCACTAGCCTTTTAAGTATACAAACTCTGCATGTAGGTACGCAGTTCAGAAAAGCTGCGGATGAGGCTTGCTCCATGTCAAGACCAGGAATCCTGAAACTTTGAAGATAAACCCGACTTCCACTTTGTGTTTGTGAGGTATCCTAACACCATGGTGACCATGGTGACTGTCTCCACGCAAATGCGGATTAGTGGCTTCAAATAGGCTACAACCGTGTCCTTTAATTGCCTTTTCGAATCATCATTCGCAGTCACTGTAATATTCCAATCTACATAAATCATCGTCATTAAAACACACGAATAATCTCAACAGTTCATATACAGTCGAAATGAGCGAAATATAATGACGATCAGTTATTTCTGCTGTACTTTTGATCTCAAATTCGACGTGTGGAGTGCATAACTGAGTTTCTTTCGCTAGCTTATTTCTGGGATCGGATTTATTTTTGTTACTGGCATGTTCTTTATTTAAAAGTCACCTTTCCTTCCTATTTGTCCTATTCATCGTCATAATTATTTATGCCATTACAAGTTTAAGATTATGAATGAATGTATAAGGGGTGGGCCTTCTTGGCCCTTGCACCGCGACCACAGTGATCCATTGTGCCTATGTTTAAGAGTAAGCGACGCCTGCGATTCCGTGATTAGACTACCTGTCTAACAATGTTGTCGGAGGAGTTGCTAAATTAACAAGGCGCTTGAGAAGTTTCAGTTTCCTGTTTTTAGTAGAATTTTAATTCGAAATTATGGCAGTAAGTAGAACATCAGATTGTGTGCCGTGTTCCTTGGTGTACATCCAGCAAGCAACACCGATGGGCTGCAGATAAACAGGAGCTACCATTATCAATGTTAGTTCACAACAAGTTCACTTTACAGTCTCCGTAGGACGGCATCTGAAACTGCAGATTATGGTCCCAAAATTGTTCCTACTCAAGGGACAGCGAGGGGGCTTCTCCATCTCAAGTCTTATTTAAAATACAGATGTATCCACATACAGTTTCAGTAACTCGTTAAGGAATTAAGATTTAAAAAATGCGCTTTCAGAAAATGCACCTGCAAACAACGGAATCTTTTCGTTACTGTTCAGGAATATTTTACAACTTACTGTAGGTAGAGCGAGGTCGCGCAACTTTTTAGGTTCCTGCTGTCACAGTACAGTCAGAGGGGCTTGCAAGAATGTGGCCGGCAGGGAGGAGACGGGGTAAGTAATATCGCCAGAAGTGTATTTTCGGTGATGAAAACTGCTTGTATTTACGTCGGTATAGCGACTAGCTACAGGCTGGACGACTGAAGTATCGGAGTTCGAGTCCCGGTAGGGTCGAGAATTTTCTTTTCCCGTCGTCCAGACCGGCTCTGGGGTCTACCAAACCTCATGTACAATGGGTACCGGGGGCTCTTTCCCCGGAGGTAAAGCGACAGGGGCGTGAAGCTAACCACTCACCTCCAATTATTGCAGAGGTCAAGAAAATGTGGATCTATACATCCACTCCCCCATACGTCTTTATGGCGTAGTGCTAAATTAGCTAAAGACAGGGACAATGCTTATAGGCCTATCCCTAGTCTGCCGATCACAGTGGCTGCGCGATATAAGGCATGAAATATCTTCGCCATTTCGAACACTGGGATCGTGGGTTCGAATCCCATTCAAGGCATTGATGTTTGTCTGCGTTTATTCTGTGTTTATGTTGTCCTGTGTAGGCAGCGGCCTTGCGCTGACTGATCCCCCGTCCAAGGAGCCCTACCGACTGTCTAAGATTACGAAACCGAAGTGAAACGAAACGTTTCACGGATGCCCTATGCTCCAAGTGGCAGCAACAGGCATAGATAGATATCCTTAGTTTGTAAAGGATCTTATGACATGTAAGAAGCTTGTGGCATCAACAATAGGAATAATACCACATAATTTCTTATAATACTCAAGAATATTAACTGGCGAATGTTATTACTGTTAAACACTTTTTTTTACTGTATACACGAACTATCACAAAATGGCCTTTTATCTTATGAACAAAGTGATCGGAATTTCCAACGTCATGAATACTTATTTGTCAGAAGCCGCTATTAAGGTAATGCTGTCCTTGTGCTTAACTAATTAAACACTACGCCATGAAGGTATATGGGGAAATGGATGTACAGGTCCACACTTTCTTGACATCGGCACTAGTTGGAGGAGAGCGGTCAGTTTCACGCCCCGGCCGCTTACCCCCGAGGAAAGAGGGATTGGATAGGAAGTTGGGTGGACCCCAGACCCGGTCCGGATGACATGGAGAAGAGAGAAATGTTGACCCTACCGGGACTCGAACTCCGACCCCTCGGTCGTCCAGCCCGTAGCCAGTCGCTATAAAGACTAAGCTATCGCGGCTCACGCTGTAGTAGTAGCAATAGTAGCAATAGTAGTAGTAGTAAAAATAACAGCGGTTGCGGCATCAGCAGCAGGCAACAACAACAACAACAACAACAACAATAATTCCAATTATACTTCAGCATCCCGTTGCATTGTGGCATTACCGTTATTACTAAAGCATACAGGAAGACTGCAGCAGTAACACAGATACGGGAGAAATACGACACGCACAAAGTACAATGGCCGCAAAAGAGTACAACGACAGCGTTCTAGTCGTGAGGTGAAAACTAAACAATGACGATAGACAAATGAGCAGTGCAGTGGTATCTCCGAAAACAAAGGAAAATTGCCTGAAGATGGCCCATGTGCGGCCGAATCATGTTTCAAAGTGAGAAGAGACATATGTAAAAATAGAGACTAGTAATTTGATGATCACTTTTAGTGCCTTAATGACATTTTATGATTTTTAACAACAACGTAAAGTATTAAAGTTGCACTTTTAGTGAGAAACATATTTTAGATGTCTTTCATATTTTCAAAAATATTGTTGCATTATTGACGGGTGCTTTAACAACGAGGATGACAGTAATGCCTGAACGACATGGCAGTCACCTTCATCAATGCGGAATAAATTAATATGTAAACTAAAGATAAGCCTTATGTAAAGATGGTAAGAGATGACGATCAAGTCAATTGAAACAGTGGTAATCCCATGTACCTTGCACCATATATTGAAGAAATGAAATTGACGACATTGTTTTTACACAGCGCGCCATGAATACGCGCAGGACAACATCAAAGAACTTTCTTCTCAAGAATGACAGGCGGCACATGTTCGGCGCCCATCAAGAGAAGTAATAAGAAATAGGAAACGAACCTTCTTGGTTTATAAATTCTAACAAAATCTTAACAAACCAATTACAAAAATTTTAATATATTAAGACAGCCGCTGTAGTTGTAAAAACTTTAGATTTTATACCCAATCGTATATTATTAACATTATATGTATATATTTTAACGCTCAGAACATATATTGTCATAGTAGCTTCCAACTGTATCGATGTCCCTCTGAAGATGGTCTCTAAAGACCGAAACATGTAAGGGCATGAAGAATTGAAATAAGAAAAATCTTCACCAGTCACACCGGACGGAACTGTTTTAGTTTTTATAATATTGTTAGTGTGACGGACCAAAATGAAACGAATAAAAAATACGAATTTGGACAGGCCTCGAGTGGCATCACATACATACCGCGTGTCATCAGAATCTTTAGAACGGTTCTCTATTTGAAACATGGGGACGCAGAGACAGGTGGACAGACATGACCACTGCCATACGGTCTTGTCGAGCATAACCTAGAGGAGGGTGGATAGGCTATTAAAAGGTACTATTGTCCCGCGATGTAATGAAGCACCACTTAACGAAATATATCATCATCATCATCATCATCATCATCATCATCATCATCATCATCGTCAGTAATCTGTCAGATGACAGGTCCACAGTCTCTTCCAAAACAATTCCTCCACTTAATGCGATCTAGAGCTTTCTCCTTCAAATGACAGTATCCTCTTCTCTCTCTCTCTCTCTCTCTCTATATATATATATATATATATATTGTGACATGTGTTACTGTGTTGTGAAGAGTTCTATCTTCTGGGGTATAACACCTGGGAAATCCGTTGAAAGCCAACGGACGTTTCGGACGAACATGTCGCCTCCATCTTCAGGGTCGGAGAATAAGCCGAGAAAGAAACCAGCATGAAGCAGGTAGCAAGTAGAACCTCCTGCGCGGGGATTTCTTCCTTGGCTTATTCTTCGGCCATGAAGATGTAGGCGACAAATTTCTCTGAAACGTCGGTTGCCTTTCAACGTACTACACGGCGTTACATCGACAAGAGAGAGCTCTATAACCACCGTTGTGAGAACGTCAAATTATACTTTGTTTTCATCCGTCCATCTACATTTCTGCAGTTTAAAATGCACCATCTTCAGCGGCAAGCGTTCGTGCACCTGCGCCGTGCAAAATCCTCCTAGGCAGCTTACCATTTCCGTTTGTGACGGTGGGGGTGATGGGGCTGCCGAAATAAACCGAACGCGAGACGAAGTTGGCCGAAGCAAGGCGAGCGCCATGGTTGCTACTCATGACGCAGTGTGACGTCAGTAGCTAGTGCTGCTCGTTCAATAAAATCCATTGCAGGAAAGCAGCGCCAGTCTCACATAGAGTCTCACAGAACTTGGTGCAGTGTGTGCTGTGTGGAGGAGGTTGCTGGATCTTCCCCTCCCCGAGAGTGAATCTAGTAGTGTGAATCTTTTTGTTTCATTCTTTTTTCCTATATATCTCTTCCTCACATCTCCAGGAACACAAGAAAGGCAGCGGCGGCAGCGTTAGGAAACAGTTCGTACCGCGTCAGTCGGGAGTGGTGACCGCGTAAAGTGCTGCCGTTCCGTGCTATTTCAGCAGTCGCCTCGACTTCGCGCTGTCCAACATCAGCAGCAAGAAGGCAACATTAACGTACTAGCTGTTCAGCAGACAACTCGATTTGCCTGATAAAGTAAACACCTTAATCTGCATTATCTCCCTCCTTACTTATCCGCCCTTCCCCCCGCTTCGTGGTTTACATTCCAGTGGACTTAGAACGTCACACGCACTTGTAGTGACGTTAAAGTGAGTGAATGAGTGTATATATGTGTGTGAATATACTCTGATCTATCGGGGTAGATAATAAGAATAACGTCCTACCTTAACATTGAGGGAAGGTGAAGATATTAGTGCAACTAATTTACTGTAAAATTCGGTAGTTGATACAGAAGCACCAGTACCAGCGTCTCAAGGAGTAACAGTACTTGGACTCCAACCATGCCAGCCGACAAGGTTAGTTCAGCTGATAAAAACGGATTGTGACTGGCTTGTGGCGCTATACCAAATGATGTGTCATAGTATCACACTAAATGCTTGCATCTGGCTTTGTTTATTTCAAACTCGATGTAGTGCTTAAGTTTGTTTTGTAATCTAGGAGGCTTGTAGCGTTAATCGGCCTGGTCTCGCTTATGTTGCCCATGTCACAGACATATCAGTATGTGTAGTGTTTGGCGTGAAAATATAGCGTAACCAGGAATTCTAGAGCAAGAAATCCCCGAAACCACCAAAAAATATATTTTGAGAAATACCGGTGCTGCTCCTTGCCTGTATGTAGACAGATATTTCAGTGGATGGATACAGTAATGGTTTTTATTTGAACGGCAACCAGAAGAGTTTCTATTGAAACTGAACAGTTTAGTTGGAAAAGGCGGTAAGTCCACGGTTTGGCTCTTGGACTCCTCTGTTTTCCAACTAACCTCATTCAACTGTAAATCCCAGGTCTTTCCAAAGCAAAATAAACCCGCATTGTTTCTGCTAGCGAACCGAGGTGGGGTGTGTTTTTGTACCATGCAAAATCCACACTTCCCTTTTGTCTATTTTTTTCTTGCGTCGGTATATTTAGGTCAAAAGTAGGTCAAAAGGCTTAATAAGAAAAATTACTGGAACCCTGGTTAATAATATTTCTTTTCATGTTGAGTTTTGAACTCAGAGGTTCATCGAGTTAAGCATCCAAAGACGTCTCCATGTCTTTTTTTTTTTAATGCTAGTGGGCTGGGACTAAGTCGCTTGTACTGCGCCCACTTCTTGCCTGTTGTACCAGCCACAGATGATAGCTGAGGGTGATTCTGGAGCAATTGGTGGAATGAAGATTGGCAGGGGAAACCTAAGTACTCGGAGAAAATCTGCCCCAGCGCAACTTTGTCCACCACAAATCCCATTTGACCAGACCCGGGATCGAGCCCGGGCCGCCGTGGTGGGAAGCTAGCGACTAACCGCTTGAACTATGGCGCGGCCCTCTCCATGTGTTACTAAGTACGATATTTACCAAGCATTTAAAGTTTCGAACATATGTTACACCAGGAAGAAACAATGCGAGCTTAATCCTCAACCGGATTCCCAAATTGTCATGACTGATAGTGTGTTCCGTATTTTGGGGGACTAGAGGAATTAATGGAACGAAATGTTGCCAACCCTTGAATATTCGTGTACAAAAGCAGTGGCAGCCATGGTTTGACTTCGTGTAGGGACAATGAGGATTTTCCTTTTCACCCCACGTCAGATCCGTTATATGTGACCCTTTGGGTTCGGGACGCATCACCGAAAGTAAAGCGGACGAAGCGTAGCACTTCCACTGGCCGCCATGTCCGAACGCAGTGAAATTACGGAGCTTTGCTTTCGCACCCTGTGTACTGTGGCCACACTTCTACATTGTGGAACATATTTTCTTGCATCGTTAGGTTTATGCCAGACCAAGTTCATCGTGACAATCGTGACTGGCCTTTTACCATTATATTTTTCGACCGTGTTTTGTTGTTAAATAATATTTTCGCATCCTAAGCCAGTACAAGCCCGCACCTGGAAGATAAATTAGTAGACTGGACGAAATCAAATGGAAGAGAAGTCATATCTGCGCAGAACTTCGGTCATGTTACAAGTCATGAGAAGAAATTTAATTAGAAACGTATTTACGTGAACTGTGCATATAAACTAGACAATAATTTTGTCACGCCCCGCTCCTTTCAAATCATCAACAACAACAAACAAACGACACATGAAACGCTCAAAGAAATATGTACACAGTGCGAGCCATGTTTGGAAGTGCGAGGTTATGTGCTGAATTCTTTCTCTTCCATCATTAAACGTGTCAAATGACAAGAAAGTGTGCGTTTCTTCGACAGAGTTTGGTTAAACCAACATTTATACTTACTTACAAGTGCATAAAAAGGTAAAGCTATCCCAGTAACAGGCCGTGAAGGCCTGCAGGGTTGAGAGATATCGAGGCTCACACATTTTCTAGAGAATCGGCTCACAGATGGCAGTGGTACTCATTTCTGTTAAAGAGGCTGAGTCGACCCCAGGGCTGTAGTTAGACTGAAAGGATTAGGTCAATTGAAAAATCCAGACCTTACAGCCTGTAGCATGGTGCCTCAGCCAACTACGTTACCGCGTACCCCGTACAATTGCAGATTTCAGAACCTCAGAGGGAGAATTGGGAAGAAGCTCTACCCAATTATTCACTTTTAACTTTGACACTCTGTGGGGGTGAGTGCTACCTTCACGTTCTTGGTTGCTGTACTATCAGGGAGAGTATTTGATGCGTATCACAAGGCGGTAGTTTGTTCGTGGTGGCGGGACACAGGAAAACCTCTGCATCGGATAAATTAATTTTTGAGAAGCACCTTACTGTACACGATTGTTAAAAAATAAAAGGCCAAAAGGAAGGTTGATGCCCAAATAAATTATTTTTTTCTGCTTTCTCGGATTGAGACATCCTGGTTGGTTCAGTTAAAAATTAATTCACAAGCAATTAAGCCTTGGGTCGTGAGATCCACGATAGGTCTTATATTTTTCACCCATCTCTTCAGCGTCCTGCGCGTGAAATCGACCCTTCAGGTTTTGCAATTAAAATGTATGCATCCCTCTGACCTATGCCTACTGCTACAGTGGACAGAAGACAAAACGAGCATACATTCATGCTCCTACTGGGATTCGAACATGTTAGACCTCGCGACCACTGTTGTGGACCGAGTACATACATTTATTTGGATCTGGATTTTCGGAATATACTTAACGTTTAACGGACATAGTGGCGGTAAAATGTTATAAAGCTACTCTGTGTCGTCTGTTAATACATAAGTAACCATTACTTGGTAAGGTTTTATCCGGTTACTTCGGTTTCCCCTGGCATTTCTCATTGAACCAAATGCCACATGCTTCTTGTCATCCGGGGCTGGTACAATAGGCCAGTTAGTGGCCGACGTACCAAGTGGACTCAGTCTCACCCCATCCGACGAAATTAAATGAACTATTATGTAAAGTAAAGGTATCCCTGCAACAGGCCGTGGAGACCCATAGGGTTGTGAGATGTTTAGGTTCCCACATTTTCTAGACAGTCGTCACGGTCGTCAGCCCTATGCTCCGGCCGCCCTTTACCCCCAAGAATATTCTGGTACTCATTTCTGTTAGAGGCTAAGTCGACCCCAGAGCCATAGTGCGGCTGGAAGGATTAGGTCAATTGAAAAAAATCCAATGATCTCATCAGGACTTGAACCCGCGACCTTCAGGCTTGTAGCATAGTGCCTCAACGAACTACGCTACCGCGTGCCCCAACTATTGTGTAGTAAATTTATATGAATCATTATTTAGTAAATTTATCTTTTGTTCCGGGTCAGATATTTGGGCTAGTCGAGTTTTCGTTTACTTTCAGGCAAACTTCTAGATTAGGTAGGTGCCTGCCTTAGTGTTACTCAGTGACCTGTCTGTTTTTGTTTGGCAGTTCAGGTTCCTACACGCGTATAATTGCCTTGTTTCGAACAGAGCCTTTTTACCACTAATGGAAGTGTCTTGTAATTTGTCACTTCGTTTTAGGCCCCATCGTTGTTTATAGAAAGAGGAGAGTGTGGTGACAACTTCAGTAATTTTACCCTCCGACCCCAAGATCCCTAAATATGTGCCATTGTCTATAGAAACTTGTGGAACCAGGGCCTCCGAAGACCGATGAGGCTCACAAACTCCGCCCATTTTAGCACAGTTGCGAAGTGTTTACAAGAAGGAAGAATGTAGTTCAGAGGACGTAATGTGATAGACAACCCGTGGCCCGCTGTCTTCCCAGCTGACAGTCTCATGCTATAGCTTAATTTAGCACTGATATTTTGTTAGCCAAATCACGGCTGAGAATGTACAAAGCGCAGTCAATAAAAATTATTTAAACTATGTAGGATTTGAAGTTTTTACAGCTGTGATTATGAAGATAGTACGCTTCACGATTGAAACTGTTAATATCTTACTTCGGGCGGAGACCGGGTTTGAAGTCTGCAACCCTCTCCCAGACATGTAACACTGTCCCTTCAGGCCTGGCGTTTGAGTTGAACAAGTGAAACGTGTCCTGCCGTCTCTCAGTAGTGAAAAGTATTGATGGCGTTTCAAGAACAAGAATTACGGGTTAGCGTGGAGATGTACTAAGGTGTGAGTAAAAATTAATAAAAAAAAAACAAGGTTAAAGCGGTCTTCGTCTAAAGTAATGCACCTATGACTTGTCACTCGATTAAGATTTTAGTTGCATTTGGTAAATCCGACAGAAATAGTCCAACACATCCAGCTCAGCCTTTGCAACCAATTTGCTAAAGTCATAATCTACGAAATTGATTAAAGAGGTAGTCAGCCGGTTTAAGCCCAGGATTCTTACGCTGGTGGGAAATTCAGACCTGCCCTTTCTACTGTAAGGTTTCCGAAATAAAGTTCACGCCCCGTGGTTCACGGAGTGGATGGACATACAGAAACGTGAAGGAAAAGCCCCGTCCATTTCATCACACTATACTCGAGGTGGAATTGGGTTCATTTCACATTGCAGCTGAAGAAGCACGTGGTACCAGTTTGGAGGGGTTATGATGTCGTTGTACAAGCTCTTTCTTTGAATTCCTGGTTACGCTCACTAGACTTCTGTTGTAATTAGCAATATTGCTCGAATTATATAGAAATTACGTTGCCATCAACAGTCCCTGGTAAAGCGAAATCGCTAGGCTGCTAACAAATGAAACGTTGAAGAGAAGTTTCAGATACGAATATGTGTTAATGTATGATATTTGAGATTCTTACATTTCGTTTGTCTTGTTAACATTCTAAGCTGTGTATTCTGCGAAGCTGCTTCGCTAGATAGGCGATCATGCCGATGTAACTGAGGCGATGTGTCACATCACACAAATAGTTTTACCGGTTGTGTTGGATCTGAAGGCCCCTCTGCGGCCAGTATGAAGGAAACTACTTGTACTGACACGCCGTGTTGTCCTGCAGAA